GGAGTCTGGAATGCTTTTTCGGTTTACCTGATTTCAGATCAGATTGACTCTCACACCCGAATAGGAGTCTGGAATGATATTTTTGCAATTTCTTTTGTTAAAAAGCAAGGTTGGACTGGGATTAAAAACAGCCCTAGATTTTTCTTCCCGTCCAGGGGGGTGAGGGGGCTCCTTACATTTTGATGGCCCACGTACTCGTTGCCCCACTGCGAAAATGCCTGGTTTGCCAGATGGCCAGTTCAGCCCTGGGGTGAAGAGTGGCTCAGTGTGTTAGGGATGCGTCTCTGAATGGTTGTGGGATCAAATCCCTTGACTGGCAGAGTCTCGTTGCAGTCGGGCTCTTCGGGGTGTCCCCTAAGCCCACTTTTTCAGGGACTTTGGCTGATTTGTGCTTCACTTTGGACAAAATGTGCCTGCTAAGCAGATAAGCAATATCAATTCCACTTCATCACAGTTTCCGTATCATCTAATTTAATCTCTTTAAGATTAAGATTCCAGTTTAACAGGAAAAGAAGTGTGTACCAAAAAGCACAAGTGCTACTAGCTTCCTTCCAGATAATCTTGTTTACCCGCATATGGTCTCCTCTGACTCCATCCCAGCATGGGTGTGTTGCCAGGAAACACCATGACAACCCTGACCTGCGGTTCAGACGGGGAGACGTGGTACCTTAGTGGCGAGACATATTTTCGCACAGTGAAGGGAGGCAGTGTCTTCCAGTCAGTCAAAGGGGAGCTGGGAATGGAAAGAGGTATGGCGGGGGTGGGGGTAAAATGGAGCAACCAGAGGCCACAATGAAGCCAGCAGTCCAGGCTGTGGGCCCCCTTGTGTGCGAGGGAACAGGCATGTTCGTGCATGAGTCCCACCACGCCTGCCACTTTTAGGACAAAACAAATGACACTTCTCACTGTACAACAAACAATAGCATATTGGCTGGTATGGGTATTACTGCCATAAATAAAGATAAACCTGCTATTACCATGCTACATGCTACATCAAAACTTCCCTGTTTTCTGTTTAAGTTTGTATTGCATTTTTTAAAATGATTTTTTTTTTTCCGATCTGTGTTTTTGTTTTGCCTGAGCCGAGCGTGCCGATGTCTTGGCCAGCGCCAAACCGCTGCCTTCGGAGGATCGAGCTGCCGTTGGGCTGACATCTGGCCACTAGACGGCTCAGGATGTGAGGCCCACGTTCCCCCCGCAGTAATACCATCCTGCCCCCGTCTGCTCCTAAAATAAGCCTGCAGTGAGCTGAAGTGCACAAGGCAAGGGCCTCAGTTAGGGACACAGCGGGACTCCATGCTGTCCAATGAATGCCTTAATTAAGGTATCAAATAACAATAGTGGGGGGGGGGTATGGCAAAAATATCATATCAAAAATGTTTAAGGCAGGATAATGATCCATGATCTTATCACAATCCTTTTTCATGTTGGTTTTTAAAACTAGTTTGCAAGTTACTCAATTGTACAACCAAACTAATTCCCTCACTTTAAAAATATAGCCCGATAAGGTAACAAAACCTGAAATAAAACATAAAAGCATACTCTTTTGGGTGTTTTCTTTTGAGGTGGTTAAAAAGGTTCATTGTGTTGCCGTCCGACTTGCGAACCTTACCTTTGCAAATTTTGCCGTGTCAGTTTTGGAAAATCCGAACAAATTCCATATTACCGATGCTGAATTCTTCTTAGGTCCCGGCTCCTCCATGTCACCCATGCCGATACGATGCCAAATAGGGAAGGCATTGCATGTCGGGACGAGGGCACGTATGGCTACCTACTGTTTGTTATTACCGGTTCATTGGTGTGTCAAAAGCTTTTATAGATGCATGTATGAGCTATAGAAATGCAGCTGTGTAATGCTGTTGGGGCTCCTTACAGGACACGCGTACAGCTCACAAAGCTGAAGGTGCAATGGAGAGAACACAGGTAGAGCTTTAGAGGGAAGAGTCTACACCACAGATGAGCGATCCACAGTCAGGAAGCGAGGCAGACCACCGGCGAGACGGTTTAACCAGCGGAATCCTGAGCAGAGCAGGTAAGACACAGGAAGGAACTCAAAGCCTCCAATGAAAAACGACTGCAGACAATACACAACAAAGGGATTCACTTCCTTGCAGAAAGTGTACTGCAATAAACGCGGTGAAGCAAAAGCATTTAGGCGCATTCGAGTCACCACTGGGCAAAACATCTGTTAAGTGCAGAAGATCGCAGAAAGTCTCTCTATCGCAATGCATAACGGGCGTTGGAAGTAGCTCATTGTGAGCAACATGAGGCCAAATCTCTGGGCATGGAACCTCCTGATAAAAGAAAGGAAACAGAAAAAGGCTGAACACACAAAATATCAACTGTACTTAACTTAATATCTCTGCTGTATCACGTGGAGGAGCTTGAGAGTGCTACAGATGCGCAGCCTAAGCAGGTCCTGCAAGGAGACCCCAAGACAAGGGGAATCCCAGCAGCTCACCCATTAGGCAGCTGCCTAGGGCACCGTCTTCTGAGAGGGCACTGACTTAGCAATTAGTCAAGCAAGATCTCGACTATAGCAAGAAAGATGAATGTACGTGTGTTCTGACATTGAGACAACTGGGTCACATATCTGCTCATGCTGTACAAACTACATCTCGCAT